TGTGACGCGGCCATTTCCGGACTTTTCTTAGAAAAGGATTCTTAAAATTTTTAGAACACATGTTTCGAAAGCTCAAAGTGTAGATTGTAGATCTTGAAGAGCTCTATCACCTCATGCAATTATTACATTTTTTCAACCCTGTTTTCCCTCTGAAAAAGAGCGATGGAAAAGGGAGGGAGGCTTGTCCGCAACTTTTTGGCGGTCACTGTATGAGGGTAACATTTTGCGGGATACGGACCAAATAAGTACAGTTGACAAAATCGCCAATTTTTGCCTATCAAAAAACTTTGCTTTGAGAAGTCATAAAACATGGGGATCTAGGTTTGTTTCGGAACGGTATTTTGCCGTAAACCAACCGCTTCATCAAAGGGTACTAATAAAAAGTGACTTATGAAACGACCCAAAACTTTGATGAAAGGAATGCTTCAAAAATAAAAGAGAGCACACTTAATTTAAAATAGATTTCTTTGGCTGCTTTATTATTCCTTGCTTGCAGCAAACAAAGTCGTCCGTCTGGGTACTTCGCAGTCTCTACAGGTGATAAAAAATTTATGTTGAGTGAAGCGCAATCAAGTAATTCAGGGTACCGTCACAGCATTACCAACGAGTAGCAGCAACGAAGCTATTATTTATAAACACTTCCGTCAATGTTTGAGAAAATAACGTTTCTTCTTGCTCTTTTTGTGTTTCTGATGAAAGAAAACGATGAGCTCTCCACTAAACACCGCACTGTCAATACAAATTTTTACATTTTTGGTGTTTGCACCACTACTCTGCTTTGTACATAAAACTGATTCTAAAGAGAGAGAAAGCACTCTTGATGGTGTCAATATTTTTTAGAATGGCCTAGTTATGGATGTTACAAGCTATTATTATTATGTCACAAGCTTTTTCTTGATTTCTATGTGCACACATTGACAGCTTTATGACTTACATGCAGCGAAAGCTAAAAAAATATGCAAGTTATGTGCATTTTTCAAAGATATTCGAACAAAATCACCCAGATCTCTTCACATTGTGGTCTAGAGATCTACCCAAGTTCTGCTCAATTCCTTCCAGAAGACCATGTTTTCATTTCAGCTATTTTATGCAGTACTCTTATAGTTTTGCAGAAACACATTAAGAACATTCAATGAGCTCGAGGATCTGGTAAGCAGGTGCATCGCTAAAAAAGCCAGAAATTAGCCTTTCAGTCAGTCACTTATTCAATCACGAGACTGTTCTCATTTAGTGTTGTTGACATTATTCCCCCTCCCATGAGTCAGTCGGGTTTGCAGGCTCAGCTACTCGTTCTGTGAGCCGCTCAGCTCATAGCTTTATCTCATTGAATGTTTCCTATGGACGCTGCCGTCTATTTGGGTCCTTTAATCATGTGGGAACTGCTGGGATGACTCTCTAAAATTCATGCATGTTTTCTCTCTTGCTTATACTGAGTATCTGTCTTTTCATGTGTTTGTGTGTGTTTGTACGTATGCTCCGCATATGTTCCAACCAGTTTGAATAGAAATTTTTACGAACAGTTCGGGGTGGAGCAAGTGTCAGAGGCTGCTTTCAGCGACCCATATCGATATGGATTCCTAAGCAAATTTTGAGGTATAGGGCTGGCAGTTGGCGCAGGTGGTAGGTGAGCATGTTGTATACGAGCGCAATATTCGCTTTTAAATCAAACGCTTTTTTTCGCAAACCTTGAGCTGTTGCTCCGGGAGTTGCTACAGGGAAGGGGAAAGTGAGCATACTGATAGAGGTGCTGGCAGGTAGAAGATGAACAGGGGCCAAGAGATGTTGTATAAGTGGCATGTAGTAGTAATATCGAGTGCCGAGCGAAGCGGGGTACTTCAGCAAGCTGTTTTTGTTGAATCAAGGTCACGAAAAAGCTGCAGCAACACAGTGACAGATATGTGATGGGAGTTCATCAGTGGCCTCCAGGAAAACCCTCAATACGTACGACTGCCACGCTATCTTTCTATAGTGCTAATCCCAATCTTTTTGTAGTTACTATCCTTTAATATTCGATCAAATTTGTGGAAGATATATAAAAGAGGGATGAACGACTCTTAAACGAGAGTTCATTTCAAAGGTTCTTACAGGTTTGTCAAGGATGACTCATAATGCTAAAATTTCTTGAGATCAATATTTACGTTGTTGCCTCATTGACTCGTCCCGCATTGAAATTACGGTTAAGAAAATTATAGTCGCTTGTGTTTTGCTGATGTCAAATCAGCATGAAAACTTCGCTTCCGCATTCGCCTAGGACGCATCCACAGCTTACCGCACAGTCTTCTCTAATCCCCTATAATACCTAGGAATGATGAGACATCGCTTTTTTGAAGGGCATTGCTGTTCACTGAACATTGTTATTTATGCAACCCATCTCGAGCGACTGATAGCCAACACCAGTTCCAGAACAGCTTTGCAGGAGGATCTTAGGAAGTACAGGCAAGCTAAGATACTGGAAAGACGAAATCTCAAGAAGTGGCGAAGACCTCTGCGAATGTCATGTACAGCTGGCTGCACTATTGAACGAAGACGGGACTCCGATTTCTTCACGATATAAGATGGAATCTATCGCGAAGAACTTCTACACCAACCTCTGCCGCTCATAAACATCCGTGCCGACGCCCGTTGTTCCCACTGGAGAATTACCACCAAGGATTCTACCTGCTAAAGTGCATGTTGCGATACAGACCATAAAGAAGTCCACTCCAGGACAAAAACAACTTTCCGTCTTTCTGCGGGCCAGAGAACAACGTCTCCATGGGATTTTCGCGTCGCACCTGACGTTTTACCTCCATAAGGAAAGGGTTCCCGACCAATCGAGAACGTCAAAAACTGTCCTTTTGTTCAAGGATGAACGGGAGGATCTCCTGAACTACCGTCCAATATGCTTGCTGAGTGTGCTCCACAAACATTCCACGAAGATTATCCTCGCTCGCATATCTAGGACACTGGATGAAGCTCAACCCCAAGAACAAGCTGGATTCCGCAAGGGATTCAGTTGCATGGGCCAAATCCAGACGGTTTCGAGGGTTATAGAAGTCTGCCGGGAATACCGACTACCTCTCGTCCTAGCCTTCGTCGACTACGAGAAAGCCTTTGACAGCGTCGAAACGATTCCGTCAGCGTTAGTCGATCAAGGAGTGGACCCAGCTTACATGAAAACACTAGCCGACTCCTACAAGGACTATAGAACAACCATGCAGCTATTCCATCGCCCCCTGACCATTCCAGTTAGATAAGGGGTTCGACAAGGCAAACTATTTTGCCGAAACTGTTCACCGCGACCTTGCAGTGGGTGATGAAGTCACTGGACTGGGACGAGAGAGGCATACGAGTTGATGGGAGATTCCTATCCAACCTTCGTTTTGCGGATGACATCGTTCTTTTCTCGAGCAGTATCACCGAAGCAGAGACGATGCTGAAGGGATAAACGAAGTAGGGAAGAAGATCGGATTGCGAATAAATCGGAAGAAGACTCAGTTTATGAGAAACGCCCTTTGCAAAGATGCGGAAATGGAATTGGAAGGCACCCCGATTACGGAGAGGTCTTCTCATGTGTATCTCGGACGTTCGATGAACATGCAGAACGACTTGAGGGAAGAACTTAACAGGAGAAGAAGAGCAGTCTGGGCCGCCTTCGGACCTCTGAAGGAACCCACTGACCAACTGACGGACCCGGAGCTTCGTGCCCACCTGTTCGACTCAATCGTTCTCCCGGCGCTCTGTTACGCAGCTGAGACTTAGGCCGACACTGTAGCCACGTCGAAAGCTTTACGGACCACCCACGGAGCGCTCGAGCGCAGTGTTCTGAAGATGACCCGATGCAAGCAACATCTACGGACTTCGCAGTACGGATATGAAAAGAATGTCCCGTCTTCGTGACCCAGCGGAATACGTTGCGAAAGCGAAACACCTATGGGCCGGCCACATAATGAGAAGAACAGACGATAGATGGACACTAAGAACATTTAAGTGGATTCCTCGCGAAGCCAAACGTCCTCGAGGAAAATCACCGACGAGATGGGCAGACGTGTTCGTGGAACGGATGGACCAGCTGAGAAATCAACTGGATACGATTTTCGCATCTGGAACTCGTGGACGCAGCCACCGACGAGGACTAAGAAAATCGTGGATGTCTGAAGCGAGAGACAGGGATCGATGGAAACTTTTGTGCTGAGGCCCGCATACCACGTCAAGAAGGGCCATCTACTTATCTAAATAAATAAGCTATATACTGAACAATTTTGTTTGGAAAATCATGGTCAAAGTTGTATGAAATATGGATAGTTGTGAACACATTGTGGAAGAATAAAATCTTACAGCGGTGAAGCTAGTAAAAAATTGTTGAATTATTCGTAAATAGTTATCAGAAAGTGTGTCAAATTGATCTAGCAATATGGGAAGGTTCTAAATGATTGGCGCGCGTTTAAAGAGCTAATTTTAAGTAGGCATTTTGAGATCCTTGTAGATTTACCGCTCGAAGTCTTTCCAAAACACAGGTTCGATAAAATTACGCGCTTTCTACCACATCAGTCTGATTTCGTTTGTAGTGAACAGAGTTTGGAATGGATCTGCTCCTCACCAAGCTAATCATCTATACTGTACCAGCATAGAGAAGTAAATTTTCATTTTATCATTGACACAACCGAACGCACCACTTAATCAAATTTCGCGCATAAATTTTGTACTTACATCCGCCAACACCGCAATAGTATGCAAATGCATAATTGTGATAGGTAAATGAAATAGGATCTGCCTTTTGGCCGAGTTTCGTTACAGTCTGAAGTTCACTTAGTACATGAAAAGAAAGAAAACCAGGAAGCAGATTTCTGATATGTATGAAATGAATGAGCAATGAATAATGCACTTTCCAGCTCTAATTGCCTCTTCCTTGTGCAAGAACTCATCAAAGATTGAGATCGTCTGTCCGATCACACTCATCGAAGGAGATTATTCAAAGCTCTATAACAAATTTACAGAAGTTCTCTTCTCGTTACTGAGTTATGCATGTATTCTACTTACATCTTCCATGGAGGATTGACGAAGAGGAATATAACTGTAGTTCACGACCACTTTCTGAATGGCAAAATCGCGGCTCCTACAACTACGCTCAAGGAATATATTTTTCAATGGCAGGGACTATATTCATCGTGGGTCTATGCTGTAACTTTAGTTTGGTTGATCTATACGCTTCTATGATAAGTTTGCATCTACTACTGAGAAAAACATGCTCATACAGTACACAAGAGTGATGCTATTGCACATTTTATGATTTCTTATTTTGTGAGCTTTCCCCAAACGCAACCAAACGATAAGCTAAAGTAGTTTGGTCCTTCATTCTCACATTACCCAAATTTTATCATCAAACAAATGTTATTCGTCGTCCACATTGAGACTCTGACCTTAGGTTCTATACGTGCTCTGCCTAGTCGGAATGTACCGGGGACATCTGCTGAGGATCCCATGCTACAGACTCATGTTGATTAATGGATTTGCTGACATTGCTGATCTTGTGCTTACATCATACGTCACAGCCTACTTTCACTTTGTAGGCTCCGCTCCAAAATTTTTGAAAACAAATCTCATGTGGTAGTTTAGACAGGTGGAATATTCTGTTCGTCGAAGAATTTCGAATGGATTGCAGGACATCTGGCTTACAGTAAGTTTACCCAGTCCTATATTAATGTTGAACTCAAAACACTCTTATTTGAATTGTCCGTATGAAAAGTTGAGGATTCATCATACTTTATTACAAGTGGAAAGAAGCCAATTGCAAATTTTTATAGGTAAAGATCACTTTCAAAAAACGCGTGACCTTGGCCCGTAGTAAACACCCCTCGATGCAACTCGTCTGGGGCATCCTAAGTTGAACGGAACATGCCATAGTCCGGCATCCAGTAAACTACATCTGATTGCAGATCGCTTGCTAGCAGTGGCCTTCCCCTCCCCCCCCCCCCCTCCCCCCCCCGAGAGTGGATGGCGAAAATTCTAAAAGTCACTTACATGAATCATGAAAGTGTGCAAATGACTTGTTTGCACTTATAAATAACTGAAATAAATTTCAAACTTCCTTAAAAGCTTACTTTAGCTATAAAAATTTTTTTCGAGGGCGTGGCTGCCGCCAAGCCCCCTTTGTCTGAAATTTCGGGTTTTGAGCCGGTAAAATTCAGAAGCGTAGCAAATTTTTCGGAGTGCGTGGCGTTAGCCATGCAACTTCATTCAAGAAAACTCCCCCTCCCCCCTTCCCCCCGAACGGAATTTCAGGATACGTTAATGCTTGCTAGACATAATAATCGTGTACGTTATTAGGGAGAAAACGGCAACACTGTTCGGGAAGGTGTGGTCAAACGAGTAGGTGTTTGCGAGTGACTTCGCACACAGCATTAAACGGTCTTCTGACTTTCAACTGACTACCTCAAAGCCCTGAATGGGCAGTCTTGACCCTAAGAAACTCTTCTGAATGGGTCATCTCAGAACATATGAGATGAATGGGATACTACGGCCCCTTTTTTGAGTGAAGGAGAGGCCTTCTCTCCCCCTCGTGTGCACCATTTGCTTGCTTATACAAGACGTTTGTGTGCTTGTGAAGCATTCTCATTTCGAGAATGTTGGAGGTATAATCTTAAACCTGCTTACGCTCGATGGTGTGCCCAGTATCACGAGTCGAAGGTCAAGAGGGAAATTGTGCACATTCTCTATATAATAGGCTTATGGTTTGGAGCATCGTTCAACTGTATGGTTCTGGCCTTCAATAGATTAGTAGAAATGGTTCCTGCTGCTCGGTCTCTTGGATTTTTCTTTGAAGGTGCATGGTCTCTATTGTAACCAACCAAATTTATGTTCTTAATCATTTCAGGGAAAGTTCTGTACATGTGGACGTCTCTTTCCATATTCTACATGATTATTGTGTGGTTTGTACTGAGACCAATTCCTTTCAACACAGTTATATCAGCATTTATTGGCCCACCTATGATAGGAGACCCAGAATGGGTAAGCCATTTCAAAAAAAATTTCGTCAGTAGTATATACATTATTGTAACAACAGTGTGTAAGGCGCTTATCAACTTCATGTCATTGCTACATCATGCGCTAAAACTTTAGAACGAAATAAATGAAAGAGCGGCGATCGTTCTACACTTGTCTATACTTACTTGTCTCCTTCTTCTCGATCTTCTATGTGGCTGAGTTTCAATTCTAAACATAACTGAATTTAGAGGAAAACTTATTCAAGCTTTGAGAAAAACTGCCAACGTGATGGATAGCTGAGGCAAGTTTGAAACCACCCTTATTCTGATCCTGAAAATCCGGCTCTAAAGCACTTCGCATCTAGATTCGACATAATTGAATCCACCTACCATAATTATTGTGCTTGTAGAACCCCTCGCACTCTTCTCTCTTTCACAAAAATTGGGGGCCGCCATTGTCATCATCAAGATTGCCCGCCCACCATCCGAGGTTGACTTTTTCTGCTTGAGTCGATCCTTGAGTTTTATTAAACTCTGAATCTACAGCTGATTCCTTTAGGGCCGCTTGGGTCTTCTTAAGGGCCCTCGCATGAACATTGCCATCGGGCAGGGGAAAAGCTCGGAAAAAGTTTTCATATCCTAATAGTTGCAAATTCACCAAGCCTTGCCACTGAGGCGTAGAAATAGCAACGAATGTTACGCGTTAGCATCGCGAACGAATTTTCGTCGTTGAAAATTCGTTTTTCCACACAAACTCGTCTTGTAAATACATTTACTATCACTGAACTGAGATTTCGGTTTGCAGTGTAACAGTGTGACTCAATGTTGAATTAGAGAATTGCAAAAGCGATCTCAAACTTGCGTACTTAATGCAAGGCATACGCTGCTTTTATTACATATTTTTATCACAATTGTATTACTATTTATACAATATATTAGGTCGTTTCAAAAGTAATTTCGCTTTTTTCAAACGGGCACCAGATTTGAAGGAACAAAGCTTTCTAAGAGATCTTAGAAGCATTCGATGCAGAATTTTATTCTCTTTCTAATGGTTATGAAATTGTTGCAAAACTGCCAATGAGCTTTCAGAAAATAACCAAAATCTGCGACCTGTGCTTTTTGAGATAGTCAAGTTTCACAATTTTTTAAAACTTTTATATCAACCCTCCGAAAAAGTACAAGTGACGCCTTTATAGAGCAAACCCTACAGAATGCGAAACTACTTTTTTCTCCTTTCCATAGCTTGTCCTACATTTTTAACAGAATTTTAACTGATGCTACCGATTTCTACACTTGGGCAGCTAAATCCTCATAGAACATCAAAAGAAGAGCAGCTCGCGCACTATTCGATGCAGCATTTTCTCCTCTTTCCAACAGGTGTTTTTTGTTTCCTATACGTTTAGTTTCCGGGAGAAATCATCATAACTCATTTTTTTAGCGAGCCCCAGGCTGTACCCGAAAAAATTCGAAATTTGATATTTCGAACCCATAAACTCTCATTTGCTTTATAAAATCAATATTAAGTCATATATCATCTTGAAAGCTTGAAATTCCGAGTAATTACTGATGTTTGATGCGACTGTGGTTGAGGTGGGCCTGCTAAAATCCGATGGTTCTGCTAAAAAATCTTTTAAAAAACTACGGCGAGCTACGAGAAAAAGAGAAAAGTAGTAGTGTATTTTGTAAGGTTTACTCTACCGAATCTTTGCTTGAACTCCTTCTGAGGATTGTTTTGAAAGTTTTAAAAAATCGTGAAACTTGACCATCTAAAAAAGCATGGGTCGCAAATTTTGGTTATTTTCTGAAAGCTTATTGACTGTTTTGCAACATAATCATAACCATTAGAAAGTGAATGAAATTTTGCATCGAATGCTTCTAAGATCTCTTAGAAAGCTTTGTTCCTTCAAATCTGGTGCCCGTTTGAAAAAAGCGAAATTACTTTTGAAACGACCTAATATAAATATCGAAATCTCAAATTTTATGCCCAGGTTTCAAGACAATAGAACATATAATATATCCAAATTTCGCCATTTTCAAGATTGTGAGCTGGCAGAGCATTCTTACGTTCTTGAATAAGACATAACATGCTGATGATGTTTGAAACTCCAATTGTATTCTAGGAGCATCAACATTATACCTCCGCATACTTGTTATTTTACAACCTCATCGTGACACTGGTTATGCTTACTGTGTATCCATATCTTTGCTGGTATGTGAGAAAAGTTAGTGTTGCGCACGGAAATGTGGACAAAGCCCAAATGCAGGTCGGAGTTTGCAATAAAGCTTGTTTTTATCCCGAGGAAGTGGAATTTGTGATGAGCGCATACGCTTCACAACGGTCGGCACCAAAATGGCAGTTGTAACATTTCTTGGCGGACATACATCTGCCCCATCTAGTTCCTGGGGGAAGTTGGCAGGTCTGTAGACTCGCCAGTGACAAACCTCTAAAAAGAGGCGTCGCTTCACACCAAATGCTTTTGCTTAGTCATTGAGATGGATTGTAGAGATGCTATGCTTAACAAATATGAACATTTGCTATGACAGCCTGACAAACACTGCGTCATTCAGATTTTTACACAAGTGCTATGTGTTTGCGTAACGACAGCAATTGCAGCTTTACTATATGCATCGATTGAACTTCTCCCGTCAGTACCCCGAGTTGTTATTATTGCTGCGCACGTGCTATGGCATTTAAGCCATGGTAAGTTGATGGGTTAAGTGAACTACGGCTGACCAAAATTTTTTAGGAATGCATGGAGTAACGTATATGTGCTTTAATCCTCGAATTCGTAGAGAAGTTTTTGCCCTTTTTAAGACCTTCAAAACCGTTCCCTACACAGTGTCAAGCACTAATCAGGGATTCTAATGGCGAACATATGCGCATTTGATTGTCGAGGAGAATGCATGCACACTTCGCGCAAAAGAGCTTGTGAGAGGCTTTGACCATTGACGTTTACTTATTGTTGATATGCTAGTGTTTAGTTCTGAGCTTGCCTGATTTTGGTAATAATGAAGTCTTTTTTGTAACGTGTCAAAGAGCTGGTTGGGCTGGTCAATGGTTGCAGTCAATTTTAGCGGGTTGGAGATTTGCGTCATCTGAACTGATCATTTGAATGCGCCCTCTCATCCAACATTCCCAGTAAGGAGCTTCCATCCAGGGGCGGTATTTATCAATCTCCTGTACATTCCTCTTAAGCCTGTCGGGAACCTACTGTGCAAAGGCAGTACGCCAGCAGTGCGAGTGGGCGCATATCAAAAACGCCTGCTGGCGCAAATTTTGCAAGTGCAAACATTTGTGAACCCATCTTTTTTTTTATTGTTCATTTCTTTCCTTTCGATCCTCGACACAGTTTTGTGTTGATATGCACCTGTGATTATTATGTCAACAATAGTAAATAAGAGAGAAGAAGTTTTTGAACACTCCGTTTCGCCCCTTTCTTAGACGGCGTAAATCTCAGAATTCTCCCCGGAACTCCTCAGTAAGGAAAGAGAGTCCGTGAGTCCTGTGCATATTTCAAAATAGTTTTGAGATAAAATTTTTGAATCTTGTTTAAATATTAGGTCGTTCCGAAAGTAATGTCGCTTTTTTCAAACGAACGCCACATCTCGTGGAATAAAGGTATGTAAGAGGTTTTGGTAGCAGTTGACAGTTGATGCAGCATTTCATTCTCTTTCTAAAGGTTATATAACTAAGGCACAAAATCTGATAACCTTTCGAAAAATTATCAAAATCTGCGACCCATGCTTTTTGAGAAGGCCAAGTTTCACAATTTTTCTGAATTTTTATAACGACCCTTGGAAGGAGTCCAAGCAATGGATGGATAGAGCAAACCCTATAGGAAACAGCACAACTTTTTTCTACTTTCCATAGCTCGCCATAATTTTTGTATAGATTTTTTGACGGAACCACCGGATCTTAGCAGGCTCGTCTTCGATTTTGAGACTTACAAAAGTGTATTGGCTTGACACTATATTTACAAAGCAAATGAGTATTTGCCGCTTCAGATTAGCAACTTTCGAAAATTCCGAGTACAGCCTTGGGCGCCCTGGAAAACTTGAGCTACGATGATTTTATCCCGGAAAACCTTATGAATCGGAAACAAAAAACAACTGGTAGAAAGAGGAGAAAAAGCTGCGTCGAATGACACCCGAGTTGCTTGCCGGTTGTTGTTCTGTGAGGTTTGAATTGACCAAATATGAAATTTGGTGGCATTGAAAAATTGGTTCCAGAAATCTAAGAAGCAAGCTAAGGTAAAGAAAAAAATTACTCTGTGTCCTGTAGAATTTGCTTTATCTATCTGTCGCTTGTACTTTTCCGGAGAATAGGTACAAAAATTTGAAAAAATTAGCCGAACTCCACCACGGCAAAAAACATGAGTCGCAAATTTTGGTAATTTTTCTAAAGCTCATTAGATATTATGCACTGAAATTGCAACCATTAGAAAGAGGATGAAATGCTGCATCGAATGCTTCTAAGATCTCTTGATATTGATTCCCTAAAATTCCAGCGATTATCTCGTCACCTCTGCAACGAAACACAATGGGAGTTTGGCAGCTGGAAAGAGGAAGAAATTCTACATAGGATACATTTCAACGTGCTCAGCTTATCTTCATTCTAGCGTGTTTGCCGATGGGTTCAAAAAAATGACAAAACTTCTGCACCAACCTAATATACAGACCAATTCCACTCAACAAGTCTGTCTCTTGGATACACCAATGATCGAAGATTCAGAATGGGTAAGCAAGGTAGCAGACAGCAATCAAGTACCTGCATTGAAAAGGACCTCGGCTCTTGTGTTATTTGAGTCGACAGTCAAGTCAACATCTTAGTAACCAACGATTCTATGATAATAATGAGCTGGAGTCGATTCCTATAACCGATCTAAATAGTTCGTTCGATTTTTTCTCAATTTCTATCATAAAGATACAGAAAGGTCTTATGCCATTCTGAAGGATAGCACGTATTAAGATTCGACTATACCACTCCGTACTTAGAAAAGTCTGCGGGACTGACTAAACCAGCTCGATCCAAAATATTTCATTGGAATTTTTTTGGGTTGCTTGCGAAGACTACCCATAACCCCGAACTTTAGGCTGCATTCATACTGATCCCGAAGTTCGAGAACAGTTCCAGCACACCGCTCACTTCGAGCGTTGTGCTGGGACTGTTCTCAAACTTTCAGATCAGTATGAACGCAGCCTTAAGAGAAGGGGCATTTCACGCCCAAATTTTGGTCATCGGGCCATTTATTAGGCTCTTAACTAAGTTTTGCAACTGAGTCCGTAACTTCTCGATTTTTGATATTTGCGCACTCAACTTATGATATTGTATAGATTGCCGTATGGGCTACAAACTGGCACAGACAGCTCGCTTTTTGATAACAAAGTATAAAAATCTAGAAGTTTTTCGAAAACTGGTGAAATTCGAGTTTTCATGGAGACTAAAAATGAAGCCACTTTCAACCTAGATCATGCACAACGATCTGAAATTAAGCACAAAATGTCGCAGGAGGATGACTCATTTAGTTCAGTAAGCAAGAAATGGAATTCGAATAAAATTTCAAATTTGCTTACCTCACAAAGTTGAACGAGCCGCTGTACACAAAGCTGCTCGGCCCCTTCATCATTGGGGCAAGCGCCAATGATGAAGGGGCCGCAACATCAGAATTCACCAAAACTTTGTATGTTGGGGTTATTTGACCTGCCGACTACGAATATCATACTCATTCGTCAAATTAACGCATCTTTTCTTGTTTAGGGCGAGATCCCATACCCTGTAATCTCGCAAAAAAGCCCCTATCATGCGAATGCAACATCGTTTCCGTGATCAATACGTCAGATACCCCCCCCTCTCGCCCCTATGCAAAGTTTCAGCTAAATTTGTAATAATCTGTAATTTTTCCCCTAACCTCGTATACCTACAGTAACCCTCGCTGCGACGTCGAATTTGGCAGAACTATATCAGCGCTTGTAGCTTAGGTCATAATTCAGCCAAGGGCAAAATTTGAGTGCGTTGTATACAAACAGAGAGAAGTTATAAAAGTAGTTGCAAAACTCAGTTAACAACCTAATAGATTTCTGAAAAGTTCAAGCTTATCCAAGTATTTACGAATATACATGCGTCGATATAATATTGACGTGGAAAGATCGCACTAGTTCACTGGACTCCGTTTTGTGAAGAGCACATCGTTCTTTCCTGAGAATGTTTTAATCCATTACCCATGTATCGCATTACTTTGGCACAAGAAACTTTGACGATAAAGGTATTACGCAGTAGTAATATTTGTATGGAGATTAGTGATTGTCTAGACTAAGTCCTCATTTGGTATTCGCGAACAACGGTGGGATAAAACCCCGCTTGCTTGTTGCACAGTGACCGCTTCGCCAGCCGTTGCGATCGTAAGGTAAGTTTTTTCATTTTTTCAATTCTCTAATTTGAGGTGCCGACATTTAAGCGCATCGGATCACTCAAAAAAGGCTTCAGATGTATTTGTTCTATGTACACCTCCCCTGGATCATCAATCAGGAAGAATACAATTGTAGCGCAAGGACTCAACCCGAATGGCAGAGCACTGGTTCAGTCAATGTGATACAAGGATGGTATTTTGCAGTGATGGGGACATCTTTAGCGGTTTGTCAGAAAGATTTGTGAATAAAGATCTATTGGTTGGCACATAAGCTTTGCAACTTTTTCCACAGCTTTCTTCTTACTAGATGTAGCACTCTCATTTTTTGGCATCGTGTAGAGTGTGACGTAAGCTGCAAGACTACGCAAACTACTATTTGATTTATGATAATGTAGTAGAAAAAATTGAAGCATTTTTCGAAAAACTTTGAAAATCGAGGTTTCACGGTTTTTTGGCAAGCATGAAGCCGTACAAAACCTGAATCAAATATATCGTAAAAGAATCATAGGCAGCATGTAGCTAGAAGTTGACACATTAGAATCAGTAAAAAAGAAGTGAAGTTCGAAGACAAACCAGATAAGGCGCCTTAGGTACGGTGAATATCATATTCATTTGTTGTTAAGATAAAATCCATTTTTTGAGAAATAAGCATTTTCATGCGAAACGAATCTCATTTTTGTGATCAGCATATCGAACAACCCGCATAGGCCAAGTTTCAGCAAAATCTGATGCAATCTAAAAAATTTCCTATTGTACCGTAAACCCGTAACCCTTATATAAGATGGCAGATTTCGGCAAAAATGTCTGCATTTGCAGTTTACAACATAATCCTTATGTTGCCAGAAAATGAATGCACTATGTTCAAAAAGACCGAAGTTATATAAAAAGTTGCATTCCTTATGCGCCAACCTAATACTTGCCTCAAGTTTGAAGACACAGCAGCTCTTGAGATTCTGTACGCGATGTGTTTATACGGAATGTACCGAGGATCGCTGTTGAAAATTCCATGCTACAGACTAATGTTTTTCAATGGAATTATCGATATTGTCGAATTAATGGTGACTTCTAACATTATGGCGTTTTTTCATTTCGTAAGTCGCATCCTTTAACCAGTACAATACAATTGATTAACCCGTCTATTCTAGACGGGCGCTGTTTTTTGTTCTTCGATGGTACTCAGCTGGATAATGGGTCATCTTGGATATAGTAAGCTTGAGCGATCACGTTATCACACAAACACACCATCGCTTTTGTGCACAAATTACACAGTAACATACAATACGTTTGCTATAGCTAGCCAAATAATTAAATCACCGTTTTCCATCAAATCTCTGCAAGAGCAAGAATATGAAAATCACAAAACGCTTATTGGTTGTGAATGGAAACTACAAGGATATGCTTCAATGAATGAAAGGGGAAGTGTTATTTGTAAAGAGAACTAACATATCAGTAATTAAATCGAATTCTGAGTGTGAAATGCTGATTCATTAAATAATTATAAATTAGATATGAAGCCATTCTGTTTAGAATTTCGTTCTTATTTCAGGTCTTTGGCTCGGATCATCCTTCAACTGCGTGGTTCTAGCTTTGAACAGATTTGTCGAAATGATACCAACCGCAAAAGCTTTCAAATTTCTCTTTCGCGGTAATTTAAACATTATCCACAAATGCTTTGCTTTAATGTTCATACAATACCGCTCATAATTCGTCAAAAAAGTCGCCGGACTGTGGCGCACTTCGCCACACACCGCCGCAGTGCGGCAGAGTGCGCCACACTCCACAGTCCGTCCGAATGATCGTCAATTTAGCCATATATCGCTTCAGAATGGACGAATTCTGAATCCGAGGACACCGTTAGATTCAGCTCAGCGAGACGCATCATCTTATGTATGAAGCTGAACGTCTGTTTGTCTGTTTGTCTGTATGTATGTTCCGAATAGAAAATAGGGATCTTGTTTTCCCAAATTCTACTCGTCGCAACCCTAGAATACGAGGCTTTCTTGCTAAGCAGATGTGAGTTCTGTAATCATCCCTTATGAACAAGCTTTCCGAGATGTTCGGGTGATTTCATTTTTTCTTGTCTGACGCTCTGAAGCTGGCCGGTGGATTTTGGTCAAAATGTTGATGATCTTGAATTGTAAAGAAACGGCGCTCATAGAGGTTTTCGAACACGCTGCTTATGAAAATCGTGTTCTCTGTCAAGTATAGGGTCTTTTTGCAGAGATATGCTAAGATAGTTGCAACGGATTCACGAAAGCTCGTAACTTCGCCTCCACCTCTCACGTATCTGTCAAAAAACCTGCCTGCTTGCTTTTCTAGCCAAAGTTATTAGGAGATGTGCTATCGAATGGCGCATGACTCAGGCTCCAGTCTATAAAATTCGCCGAATTACGAGCCTACCAAAACACATTCTCATGAATTTTAATGTAAAGATTGCAAATTTCGTCGAAATTCCACCGTGAGTGCTTGCATGACACTCGCATTGCGGATATTATGTTCGCTTCGCTCAATGACTCCAGTGTATGAATATGGTTCTTGCGTGTGCTTTAGCAGTTGAATATCAAAGCTGTTTTGTGGGGGGAGTAGAATTTGGGACAACAAGATTTTTTTTACGATTTACCAGCCTTTCTACCTCCATTGGAAAGATGCCTGTGACTACTTTTTAGCGCTACGTAATCTACAGAAAAAGTACTATCGAAAGGTCCTCGCTGGAGTCTACTAGGGGCAATGCGCGCTGCTTTGCACCTTCGCGAAAAGACGTTTACAGAAAGATTTGAGAATATCAAAATTGGAATATCAAGGATATATATCGAAAGACTTGCCTTGATGAACTGAGCACAAAGCTTTCTTCGGATTCAGAATATGTTCATTCCGAAGGAAGTTACGGCGAGTAGAATTTAGAAACGCGTGATTTTTCCAAAATTCACCAACGCTTCCATCTGTTTTGGAAGATAGTTTGCAGCTACTCTTAAACGCACGATAACCTACAAGGACAGTACTATCGAACAGTGCTTACTGGAATCTTTTATGTTACACAGACGCTGCCTTACATCCTTGCGAAAGGACCTCCACAGAAAAAAGTCGAAAAAACTGGAAATGGAATATCGAGAGCATACTGTATATCAAATATTTGCCTCGACGATCTGAACACAATGCTGCTTCTGGATTCGGAATATATTCCTTCCGAAGGAAGCTATGGCGTTGCGTACTCTACGTGATTCGCATGGTTTCGCGGATCCTGAAATGTCGCGAACTTCCCAGATTATCGTGCACTCTGACGGAAATCCCGGAATTCCGCGAAATTCACCGAAATTTTGGCATTCTGTGGGCGGTATTGTGATCTTGAGCAGACCTTAGAACAAATTCGATCAGAGTGGCTCTCTACCATACTCCTATAGTATACTGTCTATGTTTCATCAGCGACAGATCAATGGTAATGCTGCTATCAGCACACTGAATTCAACCAAAATAATAATCGATAATTCTGAAAACTAATATTGTATTCGGAATCCCCATGCTCACTTACCCTCCCCCTGTGCCAACTCCCGGCCCCGTAGGTGGACTCTGCAAAAAATCGATAAAAATCGATAAAATCGATAACAATCGATGACGAAAAGTAGCCTATGACACTCGCCGGGACCCGAAGTGTATGTGTGCCAAGTTTGGTCCGGATCGGCTCTGAAATGGAACTTGTTCATAAGGGATGATTACAGAACTCACATCTGCTTAACAAGAAAGCCTCGTATTCTAGGGTTGCGACGAGTAGAATTTGGGACAACAAGATCCCTATTTTCTATTCGGAACATACATACAGACAAACAGACAAACAGACGTTCAGCTTCATACATAAGATGATGCGTCTCGCTGAGCTGAATATAACGGTGTCCTCGGATTCAGAATTCGTCCATTCTGAAGCGAGATATGGCTAAATTGACGATCATTCCGACGGACTGTAGAGTGTGGCGCACTCTGCCGCACTGCGGCGGTGTGTGGCGAAGTGCGCCGCAGTCCGGCGACTTTTTGACGAATTATGAGCGGTATTGTACAGGCAAGGCGGTCTACATATGGATATTACTCTGCCTATTATATATCACGGCATCATGGTTTATATTCAGGCCATTACCATATAACACAGTTGTCTCCGCATTTATCGCTACTCCCATGATAAGAGATTATGAGTGGGCAAGTTTTCTTCTCTTAGAATTATAAAAAAAAAGATACATTTGTTTGCTGCAACTTCCATGTAATGCACGCCAAGAACGTTGCCAAGCATGCATATTTGCCACTACAATACTGTCATAGAAGTGACCAGGTCGCTGATACAAGAAATGAAAAATTTTCGATGCTTACCCTCTTTCTAAAGCGATTTTTTGTAGTAGAACTAGGGATTGGTTGAAGGGCTCTACCCGTGGCAGACGAGTCCTACCGAGGCTTGGGTGAGGAGACAAGTAGTATTGCAATGTAGAAAACCTTTTGACTTATGAACATCGAGACTATTCGCTTGTGAGACAACAGGTCAAGAACCGTTAGTTCCAGCAAACAGCTAGAATCCACAAAAGTTTTTTTTACCTAGTCAGAGTTAGAACCGAGAGAAGGTAAGGTGACTTGAATGTTGACTGAGAAGGACTGCGATTGACTGAGTCATTTGCTCCTGCCAATGCCACCAATTTGCCAATGGATATAGTCGTGCTTCTTAGTCACTGGCCAACTCTCCGCATCGTACAGGGCGACGATCGCACCACTTTCCTATAAACTTCTGATCTAAAATATTGTGGAATTTGGCGATCGCAGAGTACTGTTACTTGACGCCATTTCAGTCAAGCCGCGTTCGTCCTTGCACGTGCATCAGTGATCGCAATTTCTCAATTCGACGTTACAAGGGGACGCGGATATCTGAATGTCGAACTTTCCTCAGTGGCCGGTCATCGACGCTGATTGTTCCGTCGGTCTGCTCCCCGCGTTCCTGGTACTCAGTCTTTCCGGCGTTCAGCCGCAAGTCATATCCAGACGGACGCTTCTTCCATTTTATGGTTGCATATACCAGCCTCCTACCTCGATCCGCTTGCTAGCTCGACGTCATCCGCATAAAGATGCGGCAGCTAAATGTTCCTTGTCACCGTATCCATGCACGTAATGAAGAGCAAAGGCGATGAAGCCAACCCTTGTACTCCTACTTGGATTGGGATTGGCATCGGTGTTAGTGCACATCACTATCGCTCTCGTCGTGTTTGCATAAAAAAGTTCAATTTAGCGGACGTAGTATTGTGGATCGTGTTGCCTCATTATCATGCATACCGGATCAATCCGTGTGGTATTCAATGCCTTCAATGTCTTTTCAAATCAAAAAAAGTGAATTAGAAGCCGCCTTTCCTGGTAGCGCCCATTAGTGATCGTACGGCACGGATGGCGTCGATGGTGCCGGAAATTTACAAAACCGCATTCATTTGGGGTGACTTATAGATAAGATTTATGAATACTCACTTGCTAATTTCCATTATGCGTTATAACGGGTGCATCGGTCGGTATGTTGATCGTCGAAGGTCACTGACGTCGAACTCGTTCTTCCAGAGAGGGACCGTGACACTCGTTGACAGATTCATGATATCTTCCCTTCGGTTCCCACTGAAAAGTAATCAGGGGAAGTTTAATTCACGTTGCCCCATCATCACGTCGTCCGGCTCCGGAGCTTTATCAGATGACTTTCTCTTTATTGCCTGCACAAGTCACGATTTGAATTAGTTGGGTCAATGTTCTGCTTTGCTCGGTTTCGGGCAGCGACCAGCTGATATATCTTGTTTTCATCAGCAGTTCCTTTCAGCTCATCGTGAAGATTCTTATAGTGTGCCTCCTTCATCTCAGTATCGCACGCTTTGCTCTTGAGTTTAGTTCTCGGTATCGAGAGAAGTCATCGTTTGCTTGAACCTGTTGCCAGGTTCTGTAGACTTTTTTCTTTTTGACTAGTTCCTGAACTGACTCGGACCACCACCAGATCTGCTTGCCAGTAGACCGGCGTGACTGGCTGGTCTCCAAGATTTCTTTGGTCCTCTGTCGCATCTGTTGAGTAATCCGATTCCATTTGTCTTCAATCAAGTCACCATCATCAGTCGACGATTTCAGAATGTTGAAAGAATCTCTGATTCACTGGCATTGCTCATTGCTCTTTTCTTTGCCTTCGTCTTCCTGGCTCGCAGATGCAAATGGGTGTTTATTCGAAAATCCAACGCAAGCAGGCGATGTTGTCGCGCTAATGCATGTGTCGCGGTTATGACTTTTGTGTCTACCACCATCAGCAGATGGCACAGCGCAGTATCCATAGTCGATCTAATTCAACAGTCCCGCTTAAAAAAATGTGTATAGCTAAGTCATGTGCTTCGGAGGAGGCTTCAGAAAGCGTTCTCCGTCCTCGTTCCTTCGTCCGTATTTATTTCCATCATGATTTCGC